TAAGAGTGTATCTCCCACCTGAAAAAAGTGCCCCCTCCCCCAAAGGGAGGACGTGCCGTGTCCACAATACAGAACCAAGTGGTTTATCTTTGAGAAAGTCTGAAGAGTCGTTCTTCTATGATCATGGCTTTCCAAAAACAAGCAAAGAGTCCCTCCGTTGGGTTTTGGTATGTCCTTGTACACTTTTGCATCTGCTGTGAGCCGCTGAGACAGCAGCTAGCCAGCCGCACAAAGGCTACAGATGGCTGCTGTTGTCGCAGCGTCCTTGTAATAGAAGCGCCTGGACATTGCGTCATCCAATTGTGGAGCACGCTGGGCTGACCTCAGTGGGTACCGTTGACCTCTGCTAAGGTGAGGTAGCGATAAGCGCCCATAAGAATGGGATCTAGGATGGTGTCATGGGATGGGTGTTATAACTGAATAATCCTTTTGCGGTGCTGACCAATTTGGACTATCGAATATACTCGCTTGATACTGAACCAAAGTTTCACTTTGATGTCCCGGTTGTTGATATTCTTGTTAGAGACGGAATATCTTCATTATTCATTCAGTTACTGATAGTTTCTGTTTTTAGGTTCAGCGTGCATGTGAAATCATGCGACAGGTGGGATTCGTGCAGGTGGAAACGGTTGAGATTGTTCATAGAACGCATAAAGTGAGTATAGTAGCCTTAACCTTATGCACTATCAAAGCTTTTTGATCTCAGTGTATTGACCGTGCAGAAATTATGTTACTGAATCTTAGCATTATCGCTTTTTGACTACAAAGTTGAAGGCAGTTGGCACGATAAATCCCTAGAGACGAGTAGGATTGATACGCCTGGCAGGGCGGAATTCCGCGACCCTGAGCAGGCGCTGCGCGGTTTTTCCTAGGAAGGTGCCCTTATAAGGGTCCTATCAAGCCACAACATACCGACCCGAACGCCCACCACGCCCGCCCGCCCACAAATGGACGACCGTACCTGATGCTCGTATTGCTTCATTTGCTAAGTAAAACAAAGCGAAGGGATTGGTATGAAGCGGCTGCGGTGCTGAATGGATATATGAGTACATACATGCAGCCGTACCTACCGTAGCGGTTATTTGCAATATGCCTACGGGAAACTCGTCCGAAATTGCTTTTCAAAACGAAGGCTTTTCTTCGCAGTTTTCGACCGTTTCACTTCGTTTTTTCGCCATTTTCCCACTAGATAGCGCCCTGCTAGCATTTTAGGCTGAGTACCAAATTATCGTGCCAACTGCCTTTAAGGCAAAGTCCGCGCTTGATCGCCATCACGATAGCGAAAGGGGGTAACATATAGACGACAAGGTGATGAGTGCTTGATAGTGAGAAAAAAGC